GAATCGCGGAAGTCCCAACGAGTCCGGATTAAAGACTTTTGACTGTATTTAAAAATGTTTCTAAAGTGAGGCATTGTCAATAAAATGCTTATGGTGTAACTTTGGTGGTGTTTGTTTATTTTATCAGACTGTTTATGAAAACTTTGCATCTTGCACTATTTGGCACAAATATAGCTGATCAAAAAGGTTTAGGGTCATCTTTTTTTCCTTTTGTCTTCCTTTGAAGATATTTCCTGCATAGTTGCCTATTGTTGCTGTTTCTGAAGCAATAAAAATGAGTTGAACAAGAAAGAACTTTCTTTTGCAGTTCTTTCTTGTTCAACTCATTTTTATAGTCTTCTAGTAATTCCATTATATCAATTTCCAAGCCCATAGTTTTTTCTAAAAACACATTATCGAAGATTTATTAAAAAAAAAAAAAAATTAGATTCTGCCCAAAGGGGCATTGTTTTCATTTGCACATACGTACATGTTTTGAAAGCATTTGGGCTAATGCTCCTTTAGGCTAAAAATATTTAAAAACAGCATATCTTTAGAATATTCAATAGTAAGTCTCCCATGCTGAAAATAAAAATATTTTATTCCATACAGTGTGTTGCCACTGCTCGCTTTGAAATCGTCGAGTTTCTTAATAAAAAATTGTCAAATTAAAAAAAATATGAAATAGACAATAAAACAAATTCGAAACTCAAGATTTAGGCTTCCAAGTGTCCATAATCGGCTGGAGGATTATGTTATTCAAATTTAGTGGCTCTAGGTAGCGTTATTTTTTTACAGTGCGAGAAACATACATACATACATTCATTCAGACGCGTCTGTGAGTGCAATCCTTTAAGCAGAGCCTCAGTGCATTGGTTGGCTCTTACATAAAGGACTTTACACTGATATAATTGAATACTCACAACACAATAACATTTTATTAATTAATACATAAAGAACTTTACACGGATATGAATGCTCACAACAACAACATTTTATTAATTAATAATCTACTTTTGTATGGTAAATTTCAAAAAATTTTGGAATATGTAATGCGACAAAGCATTTTTTGCTCTCCCAAGCAGTCTTGCTGAATTTTTTATGTTTGCTACACACTTTACACCTTCTTTGGGGATTTTTTTTAGCTTTTGTGGATGCAATATTCCTTGGAAAATGGCCTCAATGTTTTGATTGTAATCGCAGTGGTACGTCACCAGCAGACAGTCTTCCACCTTTTTTGTATTCAGGCATACATACACTTTCTAAAATCTGTTGCTCCACATATAATCGAAATTTGGAAAACGTGTATTTTTTACTTTTTGGTATATTTAATTTCTTTAAAAATAAAACATAAGCATTAAAAAATGCAATATCCATTAAGTAAAAAAAAAATTGTTTTTTTATAACTTTCCACGTATTTTCTCATAAGTGAAAAAGAAGATAAGTAGCTGTCTTAGAGATCTACCCCACCCATGCCATTATTATACTCCAAAACGATATTGCGTTTTCCAACGATGTTATTAGTTTTCCATCTTTTCTTTTCCACTTCCATCATCTCAATTTTTTTTTTTATGTTTCGTGGATAATAAATATATATCTTTTTTGTCCTTCCACTTTGCAGCTAAAATACCCTTGCATGATCTTGAAACAGCTTCTGATCATTTCAGCTTTACCGTTGCGAGATCTTTCAGCATATTCTTTCTATTACATCTAACTGTTCCAATGGCATTAGTTTTTATGGATTGTAATTTTTAAAACAGATTCAGCGAAGAATACCAATTATCCAAGGACAAGGTGTGTCCGAAATTGGATATTGGTGTGCACATAAACATGGTAACATTTTCGGAAGCACTGGTGACTAAATTTTTTTCTGTATGTTGACCTGTGTATATTTTAAATTTGATACAATATCCTGATTTAGACTCGCACAATTTATAAAATTTTACTTCAATACATGCCCTCTTTGACGGATTGAACTGTTTATATGACAGTCGACCGGTATATTTCATTAGAGATTCGTCTAATACTTGTAAATTTTTCATTGAGATAATCAATTATATCTCATATATTGCACAAACGATCATCTTTATCCACAACTTTATTATTAGAAAAATGTAAAAAATGGGGGTGTTGCATAAATCTCTGTAATGGCATTGTTTTTTTTAAAAAGGGAGTTTCAATAATACTTCTTCCTGACCAATAAGATCGGACATTCGATTTTTTCACTTGTGCCATCAAGATGCATAACGCAAAATAAGCACGAATTTCATCAGTATTCGTATCCCTCCAATTTTCCTCAGATTGTTTTGTTTTTTGGGCTGTATTTCCTATTGTTTGACTCGCGTAACGATTGGTTTCTGTAACAATGATATTCCAAAAATCTTTTGGTAAAATTTGTTTAGCATTTGCAAAGCTGTGGTTCCTTCTGCCATTTCTATATTCATTCCAGGAATCCGTGAGTACTGCCAAATTTTGCTATTATTTTCCCATATCCATTCTTCAGATGTAAAATTAAGTTCACGATCTTCACTGCTAATTTCTTCTTCACTATCAGATATTATAATTCTATGCCGTTTCCCAGCAATACAAATAATTTCCTTGCAGTCACTATCTGTATCAGTATTGGGTATACTAACTAATTGCTTTCTCTTTGCACTTGTCAAAACTATATCACTGAGTTGACTATTATTCTCCATTTTACAATATGGGGTTGATATGTTAAAAAATAATATAAATCTATTACTATGCAACGCCGTGCACTCCAGAGCTGTAACTCGAGAAATAAACAATCTCATTGTTATTTGACGTGTGCACATTATTTTCCTTTTTGCGATAAATACCTATCGACGTGATGTTCACGTCGCTCGCGGTTTGAGACAAAAGCATCTCAACGTGCGTGGCACGTCTTTTTAGTGCAAGTGGTTAATGATTCCAGTTGCAGCCTGGAAAGTCACTCCAGTGAACAAAGAGATTCTTTTCACCATAATCAGGAGATGGACACTATGTTATGTATGAGTCAAAGAATCATTCCCCCTCGGGAGTTCTGCACAAGTAAACACAGTTAGATATATAAGGTGGTTTCCTGAGAAGAGAGGAGAACTTTCCTGTTTAGAGCTATGGGCATGTTGGCCTCCTAAGAATGATCATTCCTTGTGCATAATGCGTTAGAGCATTTTTCCTGTAACAAAATTCTGAAATTATGATACTAAATATATCCAAGTCCTATATTATCAAGCTATGCAACTGTTAAGGTTTTCATCTTATTAAAATTCATGTTATTGTTAAAACTTGAATTTGAAACTCATTTCAACCCTGTGTCACAACCCAGGGTTTGTGTAGCAGTTTCGGACACTACACTTTGTTAATCAGAATTAAACATTAATCGGTGTTAAAAATATTAAAGTTATGTGTCCAGGAGACCCTCAGTGTTAATTCTGTGGCATGGGCTATCTCAAAATTCCTCTGAAAAAATAATTTATTGCTGATTTGAGATTTCATGAGATAGTATTCATCAGCCGAGGCATTTTTACTTCTGATAATTTGTTCTGAAATGAACTGAGTTGTTCATGATGAGAAGTGTGTGTGTATTCTTGCTGAGAATATGAAAAACTGAAGTGACATTTTTTTCTGGCATTGATGAAATTTTAATATTATATGAAAAATGTTGCACCTGATTTTCCATTTCTTGCATCTTATGCAGGTATTGTGTCACAAATCTTACGCAAAATATATTTTCATCATAGTAAAATCATATAATGCCATATTTTTGTAGATAGAAATAGGCTATTTATCTAAGTTTTATCTAAAAGAATATTTGAAAGAAACCTGGCCCCCAAAAGTGTTAAAATAAATAACAAAAATAGTAGTAACAAGAATATAAAAGATCTTTAAAAATTTTGATTTTGTAACTTTTGACATTGTATGTGAATGTAGGATCTTCATGTATTTTATTGATGGCATTAATCTTTCCTAAGATTAATTATGAGTGTTTTGGCTATTGTTTCTTCAGATATGATGATTTTCCGTGTTTCTGTGATTCCATTTCTAAAGGAATTGGTAATACTGATAATATCACCATTACTTATAACATAAACCATATGAAAAGCAGCAGTATATATATATATATAAATAAATGCAAAGAAATTGTACGTAGGAACTTGTAATTACATTGCCAGATTGTTATAATAAAGTACACGACATTACCAGAAGAATGCACTGATGTAGTCTGGAAGAGGACCTATTATATCCCTTCATTCTCATTAATATACTTTAAACACATTAAATAAACAGTTCACACAATTCTATATCTGCCATTTAAAACAGTCCTATTTCATTCAGTTTGCATATAGGTCCGGCTAGCCCTAACACAGGAATCTGTGTTCCCTTGTTGGGCTCCATGGTGGGCGAGGCTGTCGGACCCAAATCTTTTCTATTTCAAACATGGCTTCACTTTTCATTTTAAAAAAACCTGACTCAAATAAAACTAACCAAGATATAGAAATTATTGAGAAATCTATTAGTAAGAAAATCCGTATCGATGCAAATGCCGAGGAAACTACTGAAAATCTGCACTTCCTTGTTGTCTCTAGTTCTTCTGGTGAATTGCAAAAGATGTCTTCTTTTCTAGTAAGCAAATACCTTCACTCATGCATAGGCGAGCCAAGGAACATAAAGCGCCTCCATTCTGGAGACCTGCTTATTGATACCGTTTCGGCCACCCAGTCTGCTTCACTTTTGCGTCAAAAACTGGACATACCTATAACTGTGTCAGCGCACAAAACTTACTTCTGTAAAGGTGTGATCGTCGAAATCGACTATGTTCGTTTCAGAAGAGTTTGTTTCCGAGTAGCTGACCAAAAGGTTTGTCCTTTAAGCAGATCAAGATGCATAAGGAAGGTCAGTTTTTTGACACAAAACATGATCCTGACTCAACGCCTGATCTGCCAAGAATATAAAGGCTGGGTATGAACTGCTCGTAAGACTAGTTTCCAACCAATGTGATGCTTCCATATTGCCAACGGTTTGGTCACTCTAAAATCCTGTCTGGCAACCTTACGTGCTCATGTTCATCATTGGTCACAATAGTGATAATTGCACGCTGTAGCATTGTGTTAATTGCAAGGGTGATCATCGCTCTTCTTGTTCCTGTCAAATGGAAACAAAGGAAGTCAGACGCAAGTCCAGAAACATCTCCACACAGAAGCCAGAAGGCTGGTTCAAAGCACGCAGCATCAACCAAATAGATCATATGCTAGTGCCTTTAAGCAAGACACGTTGCTACCAAACTTTGCCACTCAACCCAGCCTGGCAAAGACTTTGACTCACTTGTACAAAAAAAAAAAAAAAAAAAAAAAAAAAAAAGAAATAGCAATCCAGAGCAAACCCAAAAATGTGCCTCCGTAAATGGAAAACAAAGATTCAGATAGTATGAAAGTAGAGGAGGGGCTAGATGTTCCTGAGCATCTACTTCCACAAAAAACAAAAAAGCAGCACAGAAAAAACAAACATAAATCATAATGGCTACCCTGATCTCATGGAACTTTTGCAAATTCTACTGAAATTTTCTTGACATCAAAAGTGTAGTCAATGTTCATCACCTTGTGTGCTTGCCGATACAGGAAACAACTTGAAACTTGAAACCAGAATAAGAAGCAAAACTTTGGAGGTTTTCGTTTGTAAGGAAAGACAATCTTGCATGTGAACGTGCCAGTGGAGGTGGAGGTCCCCTCACCTCACTTGACTATCCATCAGATGCACTTCCTTTGACAACATCCTCCAAGTTGTCGTCTGGGTAAAATATATTGTGGTTTCAGTTACATTGCTTTACTTGCCTCCCAATGAGCACGTTGATCACACATTTAAGGATCATACATGAGCTGCCTGAGCCCTTTATTAATAGGGATTTTTAACGGCCATAGTCTGTTCTGGGGTAGTAAAGATACAATTGCTGAGGAAGACAACTTGAGCAGATGATGAAATCAACCTTTTGTCTCCTGAATGGGCAGATACTACATCCATGAACCTTCAAGGACTTCCACGCTCTCTCTTGCCATCTGTTCACCATCTCGTTTGCCTTTGCATTTTAGTGTCGGAAATGATCCTTATAAAACAGCGATCATATCCATTTTTGTGTCTCTGCACGAAGGGAGCAACCCGTCGAGACTCTTCGTTTATACTGGACAGGCGACTGGGAACTTTTCTTTCCATTGCAGAGCTGACAGAGAAATGGTAGAAATGTGCAATCGATACTGTTGAAGCTTTACTAATCTATTATTGTGGCAGCTATGCTTTCCTTCTTAAACATCAGGAAAAATACTAATATACGAACCATGGTAGAATCGTGACTGTCATGAGCCGAAAAAACAGAAAAAAGCATGGGGAATTTTTCGTAATATCCTAATTTGCGAAACCTCATAGCATTTAAAAAGCCAAAGCATGCATGAAAAGTAAGGGCAGAGCCAGAGGGATTCCTGCATTTCATATGTGTCATCAATACATCCTCTACGCCTAGTAAAGCGGTTGGGAAAGAGTTAAAAGCATGCGGAATACATAAAGACCACTCACTTTCCTTTCTGGAAAAAGATGGCCGAGTGATTAGCTCCATAGAAGAAATTGCGAATACTATTGGTGAGGCATTTGCTGCTGTTTCTTCAAGCAGAAATTACTCACCTGTATTTGATTGTAATGTTGACAGATCAGCATTACAATTCAGTAAGGTGATGGGGCAGCACTGTGGTGTTATTCCTCTCATATTTTATTTAATTATTTGTTTAAGAAGATGACCTTACAGAGATTCTATCATGTGAATCCTGGCACCCTAGTAGGGTCAACAAAATTAATCTGATAATTTACTGGGTGAGTGTATCACATGCTTCATATTGGCAAATACAATGTATTTCACTTGTTGTTATTGATATGACCTGGTGGTGACATATTGTTTGGTTGTATATTATGTTACAAAAATATATTTTGTAAAATGATATGAAAGCTAAGAAGAATGACAGTTATTTTGTCATATATATTTGGTAAATTTTTTTCATACTGGATCTTTTGTAAAAGAATTTCCAGAATTTCATCGGTTTTTAATTACCTATGTAACATTTTTGATTTAGCTCACCACAATTGGTGCAGAAATTGATGTTAGCTCACCACAAGTATAGCAGAAAAAGTAAAAAGATTAATATGCTTTCTTAATGTTATACCTGTTCTTTAAACAAATAATAATATGCTGAAGTCAGTGACAAATAATAAATGATGAAAGTACAACAAAATTAAGGACAATATTTATTTTCTTAAAGAGTGCTGCCTAACTATATATGTTGAAAGACCGTTAGGGAATTTAAGTATTCAAACTTTAATAATTTGAAGACAACAGAAGCATCCAGATAAATCATGAATATAATTGATAGTAAGGAAGAAATAAATAAGTGTTGACAGCTGATGATGCTGATACTGTTTATATTTATTTTTTTCTAATTTGTGTGTTTATATGTGTATATTATGTATAAAATGTGTATTCACCCCTTTTTTTAAAGTTTTTATTAAAAATGTAAAAATGTATAAATAGATATGTAGGAAATAAATTTTATGCATTCTGTACTTTGGTGACGAGTGAGAATAATAGCATTGTGTATTTTTCCGAGTTTAGTGCAGACGTAAAAATCTTGCTAGTATATATAGTGAAATTCTGATTCGGTCATTATCAAGAAACTAGTGAAAAATAGAACTAAATTAAAGGTAATTAAAAAATCAGTTTTGAATACGAAATGTATTACTGAATGTTAATCAGTATTACTAATTTTTGTTGACTTTTGGTCAAAATGTAAAGCAGTTATATAAGTGCTTTACATTGTGATCAAAAGTCAACAAAAACATATCTAAGACATTTCTTTAACATTATTTTGCTTTGTTTCATATTTTAAATCAGTAACATCAATTTTCTTAACATGAGTAGTGAATAAAATTAAAATAGTTTTGCCCTGTTTAATTGCATTGAGTATGTTTTTTATACGTACTTATATACTTAGAAAGATAAGCATGGACATTTCAGATTTTTGACAAAAGTAAATGTTTAAACTGGAAATTCCTCATGTGTATAATTCATTCAGTTGAGATTAACTGAGTTAATTTAGTCCAAGGACTTAGTAATCATAATTTTAACTAAAATTATGTTTCTCACTTAAGGCTATTACAATTGAAGCAGAAGAACGTGAAGATGGCAGCCGAAGAACAACTCGCTATGACATAGACATGACAAAATGTATTTATTGTGGGTTTTGCCAAGAAGCTTGTCCTGTAGATGCTATTGTTGAAGTAAGTTATTTTTCTTTGAAGTAGAAAAACTGTGTATTTGAGAGATCTTGTAACTTCATAATGTTGCTATTTGTTATATAGATTTCAATGTTAATTTTTCAGGTTATGGAAATGCAAATATAAACCAATGTGTAATATTTTTGCTTCTTTGCAAGAAGCCAAAGAAAAGAAAGAAATCAAAACTCTTTAATCTAGGCAGGAAAAATTAATTCTGAAAAACTTAATTCTGATAGGTTTTCTTCATTATATTTGTATAATAATTTATGTAAGAGTAATTCTACCAATTAAAATTTATATAAGGTAAATTATATCAATTAACAATGATTTTTAAGAAAAAGTAACTAAAATACAATAAAAGCCCAACCATCCTATTATGTTCAACTGACCAGATTATTTCAGAAGTTTTTTTTTTTTTTTTTTTTTTTTTTTTTTAAAGATGAAAATTTAAGCAAATAGGAAATTTGTAAATTAAAAAACTCTATAAAATTATCACTCATAACCCTTCTTATAATATCTAAAACATAAGTAAAATAATTACACTTCTATCTTTCAAAAGATGTTGATTGTTCCCCTATCATTGAGAGGTATTATATAAATATCTCCTTGTGAAATACAAAAATATAAAATAGGGGTTGGATGGATAAAAATGTTTTTCTTTGCTGTTCAAAAGCATTTATGTGCCATCTTTGTAAAGCTAAACGAAATGCTAAGTATTGAGCACATCCCGGCAAAAAGGAATTGCATTGGAGCAATATTAGAACTTTTTTTCTCCTCTGAACTTAACTGCTTTGGTGCACCCAGTGGATTATTACTCAAGGAATTATGCAAAAAGTTAAAAAGATTTGTCATAAAAATTTTATGAACAGACTAGTAAATGCTGATAGTTCTTTAATTTCAGTCCCCCCTTTTTTTAATGATGACATGTACGGACTTGTTAATGTTCAGAATTATGTTACAAGTCAGATACTTGGAATGGTGTAGCAAAAAATTTTATTTTCAATTAACTTTTATTGAGATTCATATGATGAAAAATTTGATGGTGATGAAATAAAAGATTGAGCCCTGACAAAAAAATTAAAAACCTTAACTAGTAGAAATAAAGCTGAAGAATCTGTCTAGGAATGTCTGAAATAAACACATGGATTCATTGTGTCGAAAATTTGCCTAATTAACAGAAAGTAATTTAATTAAAAAACACATTGTCCCAAGAAGGAAATAATTTTCCCCCCTCCAAATCCAAAGATGAAAAATGAGGAAAAAAAGTTATTTTTCAGAGTGCTAATTTTTTTGTTTAACTTTCTTGAAATTTGAGAAAACTCTATATATTACTAAGCCAGAAGTTTTGGAACTGCATCTATTAAATGGAGATTTATGAAAAAAGAAACTTTAATTGAAGTAGACAGACTTTCATAATTTATTCAATGTAATATCAACTGCATCGAACTAGTATATATCAAACATTTTAGAATTCTATTTATTCTAGGGAAAAAAGTGGTGTATATGTATTATGCAATCGGCCATGAAACTGTCACTAAACAGTGGAATTTGGATTCAATTATGGATAAAGCATGACAGAACACCACACTCATAACATCTGGGCTTTTGTTTAATGGAAATGGTTATCAATGTGCCACCTTTTATTTTACAAACAAGGTTATAAATTAACTGTTATTGGTGTATTTTTCCTTGCATTTTGAAAAAAAGATCAAAATTTGTGAACTGTTTTCTACAAAAATACAATCAGTGGTTCATTTTATTTAAAGTTTATTTAAGTTATTTGATCCTATTAAAAAAATGTGTATGAATGAACACAATATAGTCATCTGTAAATATGGTCATCACAATATAGTCATAATTGGTGACAAAACAGAAAAATTACCTGTGGGAGATTTGTACTCATAACTTTCTAAACAGAACTCTTTGTAAAATGAGACAGCTTAAATAGCAGAAATCAACAAAAGCTTTTTTCAAAGCACAAAAACAAAACAGCTTAGTTATCGACTGTTTGTTAAATAAAGTGGAATTAACTTCTCCAATTCCATTGAAACGATTGACACAATTTTGGCGTAATCTTTGCCAATATTCTTCGATACTTTCAAAGTCACCAGGATAATGTTTAAATACAAGAAATGTAAAATAAAAGTACTTCTTAGTTCTGTTAAATGTATTTTCAGCAAATTTTTTATATTTTTATTTAAAACAAAATTGTACTTGGATAAGATGTTTTACTTTTGTATGTTTAGAGCCTACTGAAATATGTTGGCTTTTATATCTGAGATTCATTCTTTTTTTCGAAATCTTACATAATTTTAAATGTAAACTTTTGATAACCAAATTGATAGCATAGCGGATAATTTTTCTTTTATAATTTTAGACCAGAATTTTCTTTTTCTATACTTTTGCCTTTTCTGTTATAAAATGCCCTTTTTCTATGCTGCTGTACTATCTGGAATTTTCAGATATCCAGCATTTCCTCTGCTTTCCACATAGTCGAGCTTTTACTGTATGTAAAACTTAATTCTAATTTTGTTGTCAGGGAAGACATTTTTTTCATTTTTATTTTATTTATTTATTTGGTAAACATTTATGTTGTTTTTAAATTGATTCCAGAAATAAAACTTTTCTGCGTAAATTGTTTCTTTGTGTAGAAAATATTTTTTTTTTTTTTTTTTTTCTTTCTGAAATATCAAATTTCACTGAGTTTTGTTAAATTATCATCAAAATTGATTGATTTTAAATAGTATCATAATCAGATCATCAAAAATTGCATTTATCTTTGTGTAAGCAATTAAGGTTTGATGTTAAAATATTTCATTACATCAGTATTTTAGATGATTAATCTTTCTGTTGAAATGTCCTGTAGTAAGGGTTTGAATGTATTAATTGAGAAAAGGTATGATTGGTTCTGATAGATATGCTGATCAACCCATTAACTTCAGTTGTTGTTCTTTGCAGGCTATGCCATATTAAGATGTGTTATTTTAATATATTTCAGGTTGTAATGAAGTATAGTTTTTTAGCAGGATTATATGCAATTATATAGGTTATTCATATGATCTCATGCATTTGCTGCAAACTAAAGATAGCTTGGGGCACCAAAAATTAAATGCATGGAGACTATACTTCAGGTCAACCTAAGGTGAGAACACTGGATATAGTAGAAAGTGTATGCATCCACTGTGGAATATAGTTTTACCATTTCAAGAAGTAATATTGTAAAATTTACGCTGTGCTATATGAATACTGTTGAACAAAGAGAACGGAAGGGAAAAATGTGTGAAACGATAGATTACGTTGTGTCCAGCTTTTTGTTTAAAAATTTGCTAAATCATGTCAATCATTCAATGACCAGCAGGAAGACATCCCCCTTTTTTGGCGTTATTGGCAAAACTGCAAATTTCAGCAACCCCGACCTCACCCCACTCTTGACGAGAAAAGCAATTAAGGCAATCATTCACTGACCGGGAGGAGAAAAAAGCAATTGTTATGGTATTCTGCTTCATCCTCGACATATGTGTACAATTTTCAACCTCATAAAGCTGCAAAACCTCATAAACCTGAATAAACAGTACTGCTAAGATTATCGTAATGAATGTTTTTGTCAATTACGGGGGGGGGGGATTTTCTTAAGAAATCCAATAACGATATTGTTACTTGTTATAATCTTTGCAGGATTGAATATCTGAGTTAAAAAAAAGCCCTTTCCAATACCACAAATTAAAAATACAACAGCTGTTTTCAAGGCCAAAAAAAAAAAAAAAAGGCAGACCTATAAACAGTTATAAATAACATTATAAATACAAGTTAACAAATCCCTTAGAAAATATAATATGGAAGTGTCGCACCAGTAGCCGAGAGGTTAAATCGCTGAATCATTTGAGCACAAGCGAACGGACTGTATTCATGGTCGGTTTTGGTGTTTTTCCTATAGGTAACGTGAATGTGAGCTTGTTTCCTTTAGAAAGTCTTTGACAAAATGCATCTCACCCCTTAGTCAGATATCTCTTGTGTGCTTTGCTATATTCAAATCACCTTACCAATACGGATGTACTGATCAATTAAATTAACTATGGTAGAAGGAACAAAGGTTTCTGTCTAAAGGAAGAGATGGCTTCATGGGGAATTTATAAGGATAAAGGACTTTTTTTATGCAACACCCTGAGGGACTCCTATGCAGTTCAGAGCTTACAAAAGTCATTACAAATGAACTCGCTGCGTACTACCAGTGTTTCACGGCTTAAGCAACTCTATCATAATGCACTTGATTTACAGATGATTCCATCTAAGGAGAGGAATAACCAGATTTTTTTTCATATGATATGCTTGTTGTTTTTATACCTCAAAGGAAATGTATGATTTTTGCTTAACTTATACAGTCATTTCACATATAATTCGCAGGATTCTCAGTGAGCTGAACCAGTGTGCTTTTTATAAATTGAAAGACATAAAAGCAATATATTCCTTTGCGCGAAGCAAAAGACCCATCTTTCGCGCCCCGTCACGCATAGATGTTTCATTCGTCAAAGGATAAAAACTTTAATTTTAAAATACTAACACGGTAAATGTTTTTAAAGCAATAAATGTACTTCTTAAGAATTCAATTTTTTTAACACTTTTTTTAGTTCTTATGAATATTTGTGCTTTGTTGTAACTAATGCAAGACATTTCTAATGTTATAATTTTAATTGATTATTGGAATTAATTGGTATATGATTAATTAATTGGTATAAGATCATTTGATTCTTAATTTTTAAGTTTGTTTCAGAGTTTTAAAGCTTTAATATTTTGCTAATATCTTGAAATTTTTAATGGTAAACTCTTTAGTAGACTGCAATCTGAAGATCTCAATTTCCAGTCTTTTATTCATTTTATTTTTGATTTTAAATAGTAATCAAAAAGATAGGATAAAACGTACTGTAGGAGGGTGATTTTCTGAGACTGACTGGAAAATTGTTTCTTAGGAGACAATTAATACAGGATATAATTTTCATAATGTCGACTATAAAATATTGTCAGAGTTTTTTAAACAATCTCAAATTCAAATCAAATTAATGTCTTTAAAAAATAAAAATAAAAATTTCCCCCTCATTTACTGTTTTGGTAGCAACAAGCCACATAAACTCTTAAAAATTAAAAGTAGAAAATAACTTACTACACTATTTTCCAAATTTATATATTTTTACTTTTAACTAAGTAAACGATCTTGGTGAAAAAATTTGACCCAAACTGCAAGGAATATATTGTTAGCTCTTCCGGTTTCAAGTTTTAAAGATCATCAAATTAGTATTTGTCACATTTAGATAATAGTGAAATATTTCACATAAATTAAGACAATTAATAACATGCCCTACATTTTACACTATGATGAACTATCAATTTCAGCCTGCAGCTTCACTGCATAAAAAGATTGTTATTTAAATATGCTGGATTTGGCAAGAAGTCGCCAAATGTGTAGCAAATTGGAGAAATTGAATCTCCGCGGGCAGTTTGCTGTGTATGAATAACTTGAAGAACAGAATGAAAAGCTGTGAAAAGGTCGTTCTAGCCTTGTACGTGTTTTCAGGTTAGCTTGTTGTGAAGAATAGTAGAAAACAAAAAGGGGGGGGTCCCCCTTGCCAGTTAAATACAAAAGTAGCTTTCATATTTCAATTAAATACAGAAGTAGCTTGTATGCATTGGCTACTTCTAGATATGATCATTATGTAAATCAAAGCATTTTTCATAGCGATAAACAGCTTTAAAGAAAATTATAATTTTCTAAAGAATGAAACTAATATTTTATAGCATATATAAGCTTCTTAATTAATGTTGATTTGCTGTTTCCAGCCAGAACATTAACTGTGGAATAAGATGCAAGTTGCTTTGAGCAAAGTCCAAATACCATATTGTACCATACTGTACCATACTGTAGTTGTATTGTTGTATTTGTAGAAATTTGCATGGAACTGTTATGGAACCTGCTACAGAAATATGGAATCTAACTTAACACTCCTTCTTCTCGTGTTCTCTTTGCCCTATTCCCAGAATTTTCACTATACATTTTTTATTTATGGGGACTGCGAGTGTCATAAATTCTCTCAATGGTGGTCACGTTTTCTCTCAGAATCAGTGAATGCTTTCATCAGGTTCTTTTTGACAACATTGGCTTGAATTTTCTTAGGGTGTACAGTGATTGTGTATGAATTCATTTTCCTGATTATGCTTTAGTTTTTGATGTATTTAACTCTTTCTTCATTATAATTTGCTAAGAAGTCATATAATTGAGACAGAGATTTAAAAATGTCAAAAGCCAATCCATTCTTTGTGATTTTTTAACATAGCTGAGCTTCATCCATCATAAAAATCAAAATAGGAATATCATTTTAGTCGATTTCATACAGACTTTAAGAAACTGGGATTTCAATAAATATATTCAGAAGTAGTGAATTGATACTTCACGTCATTTTGCAAATGCAATACTTTTTCAACATTTGTAATTCAGTTCATTGGAATGTTGTGTATGCATGCATATATCATGAGATTTTTTGCATGACTGTCTAACACACAAGTCATTCATAGAGTTTATTCCATGTATTGCATTCATTTTGTGATGAATTTCACTGTACTCGAGCAATCAACTTGCAATAAATGGATTCCTTTGTAACTGTCATTCTTGATAAAGGTTTCATATTAATACATTCATGCATAGAATGATGAGAATTAAATATTAGTATAAATAATGGTTGGATATATCATGCTTGTTGAGACTGTTAGTTATTACTAAATAATATGAGTGATGGATATAATATAGAAGTGATGGTTGTTCATATTGTTGTTCCTTAACCAACATTGTTGTTATTGTTCTCCTTTAGTTTAAGGAGATTGACTTTCAAATAGTTTACATTTCAGATATCATTTAGCATCTTATTTTTATTGCTGCTGTCTTCACGCATTTTATTTATTTCAAATAAAATAGCGATAATATTTGTAAGATCTTCTTATATTTTTTATTTTATTTATTTATTTATTTTAATTTCTTATATATAATGTTGTTTTTTCAGGGTCCTAATTTTGAATATTCAACTGAAACACATGAAGAGCTTCTGTATAATAAAGAGAAGTTATTAAGCAATGGTGATAAATGGGAACCAGAAATAGCTGCAAATATTGAAGCTGATTATTTGTATCGATAGATAAATATTTATTGTAGTTTTTACTTTGTTGTATTCTCATATGAAAACTTAAACGGGAATCGTCTATTCATTAAATGTTAAGTTAGTATATAAATAAAAAGAAAGAGAATTTTGTGTGTAAATTACAGTTTCTCCCTACAGTATTATTTTAAACTTTAGTTATTAAAAATTTGAAACGTTTGTCATAGTATGATAGTTATTTACATGACTGCTGGTTACTCAGTTTTATTCAGATTTTATGAAAACTGAGAACAGTGAGCTGTTAATTTTTTTTAATAGGTCAATAATTAAGGACCAAGTAAAATTCTTTTACTTCCAGTGTTTTATTTTGCTTATTATGTAGCACATGTCTACTGTTTTCATGCAGTTTGAATATTGAATACTGTAATGAATATTTCATTACACATGTTTTGAAAAAGATGATGATGAATTATCTATGCCTGATAAATAATAGAATGGTTTTCCAAAGGAAGATGAACATAGAAAAATATTTTAAAATAATCGATTCAGTGTCATTCTGAACAGAGTTTTAAATTCTTTATCAGAGAGATTTGAACAGTTACAAAGTTTCAATAATGAATTCCAAATAATTTTAAAGATCTGCCTGATAAAAATAAAGTAGCAAGTTATGGTTTGGAGGCTATTTTAAGGTACTGAGAGAATAGTGAAGTTAATGGATCTGATCTCTTGACTGAACTAGATATAGCCAGAGAATTATTTTCTGAAGATGTAAAGCTTCCAACAGAAGTCTCTAGGTTCATAAACACTAATAAGTTTGTAGGATTACTATTATTTTGCATAACGAGTTGTTTTATGATTTAGATCTTTACTATCACTTCTTTCCATTTCCTCACCAGAATGTTGAGGTTAGATAGTATTTGAGTGGAGGGTTTTAGATATTAAGACAGAGCATGTGTCGGCTTCCTGAGGCCATGTTACTAAGTCGCCAGCTCTGAAAAGATTGTAATTTTTAAGCTTTGCTTTATTACTTTTGACATTTAAATTGCTAATGCAGGTGAGAAGTTTGTGAACCAATTTCTTGTTAAATCAGTTATGCAGTCATTGACTACTAAGTTTGAATTTGTTACTTTAAGTTACATCGCCACAAGTGCAGGTTGATTTGTAAGCACAAGACATGCATTTTGTGTTCAAGTTCTGATTTGATGAAAAAAGATTGTTTTAAACATTTTAAAGACTCTTTTGTTGTTTTAGACCACTGATAATTCGCCCTATGTCTGTTAGGAGTTTGATACTAGTTTTTGCTACCAAAGAAGACCAAATTCTATATGTTATGCCAGATCTCTGGGTTGCATTAAGAACAGAGCCAGATCATGCCAGATCTCTGGATTGCATTAAGAAATTATAAAATCTTTCAAAGATGCTGTTAATATCAGAAGCAATCTTAAGTGCTTAGATTATATAAACAGCTGAGTTCATGAGTTTAGTGCAAAAACCAAAACATACGATCTCGATCCGACTGTAAAGGCATTGTGCCCTAGTAAATATATTATTATTATTGCAATTTTGTTGTATGTTTCCTTCAAATTGCAGAAAATATTTCCTTTGCAAATGCTATTAACTTCCATGTTAATGTCCTTGTCATTCTAATATACTGTTGCCTTAAATGAAAGAAAAAGTGTCATAAAGTAGTAAATGTATTCAATATCATTGCTGAATGTAATACAGGTGTATAAGAAAAGAAACTTCCTTCTGTACAAAAGATGTTGCACATTAAAAAATGGGCAATATTCATAAAGTAATATTATTCTATTTAAAATGCATACTGTTTCTCTAATCCAAATCTATATTAGTCTAACTTCAAAAATAAATTTCACTTTTTCAGACTGATTATAAATAATATGAATTTACTGTGTCCCATGTTAGCTCCCAACGTCATTTTTGGCATTTCCGAAAAGTGACTTGTCTCATGCTTTCGGAAGTTGCATGTCAATGGATATATAATGAATTAATAATCACAACACATTTAATATGAAGGATTTTAAATTAAAAATACATTTATTAAAAATCTCTGCACTTAATATTAATACACATTTACAGAGTTAGCACAAAAAGAAATACTTTTTCTCTCTAGGAAAAAAAAATCACTACGTTTTTTAAATAAAGTTCACCACACTACAGTTCTGTAAAAAGTGTAATCATATAGCCCCCCCCCCCAAAAAAAAACCGCATATAATAATCTTTTTGGCACTGCTATTCAAAATGTAAACAAACGGTATGGAGACCCTTGAGCCCAAGCAAAATCAAGGAATTTCTAACCGTAGAGGAAATGATATCATCGGAAGCCATATCCAATCAAGAGGAGGTATTTTTTCCTATGTGCGTGGCGCAGTACAGGATGCTTATATGCGTCTGGGACGGGAGCAGTCTTAGGTCAGCTGTGACCCTATATTAAAAAATATTTAGGTCTACCTGAAAGTTCTGTCTGATAATGTTAGTTCAAGTTTAAATACACATGCACTTGTTCCTTTGAGACATTTATAGCGGTCTCTCTTTATCTCTGCATTTATGCACATGTGCTCTTCTAAATTAACTGAAACAAAAGTGTCGCATATTATTAGAGATACAATCATGTAAACATGGCTACCAATTAAGTTCATTTATGACACTGTATTTTGCATGAATTCCTACAAAGAAGAAATGTAATAGAAGTGTGTCAAAATTTTTTGGTGGAAATGCAGTTTTAGAAAAATGTCCAGGAGATGCTTTGAAAAATTTGAAACAGATGATTTTGATCTTAACGAAAAGCCAGGCTTTGGGCGGCCATCTTTAATTGATGACGATATTGTCAAGACCATGAGAGAGTAATTTTCTTTTACAATAACATCGCAGATTGTGGAAAAGCATAATTTAGCTCAACAAAACCTTTTTCATAAATTAGAATGGGTTTATAAATATTCCAAAAGGATGACTCATGAGTTAAGTGTGAAAAATTTGTATGATCATATGCATATACAGGGTGTTTCATACATCATTGGACAAACTTGGGTGGTGGAGTGTACTAAAACATTCATTTTTACTTCCTTGTACAAAGTAAAAAGGAAGTATTGTAATTATGAATAGTTTCAGGCAGCATATTTCAACGAAAATATCCATTTTGACCGCTATCGAATACAATTTAACGATGTTTTTGCGTCATATCTGTATATAAGGACAGAGTAAAATACTCGTTTCCTCCAAAAAAATTATAAAAGTGCTTTAAAATTAACTCTGAAGAGAATTTTTCGTGGCGTCTGTACGAATGTATGTACATATCTCGCATAACTCGAGAATGAGTAGCCTCAGAACATTGAAATTTTGTATATAGAACTGCTATAACATGTAGATGGGTAACTCGTATTTTGGTTGCAATCGACCGCACCAAACGTATATAAATACTATATTTATATATATATCCGCTCTGTTACTCGGCACAGCGATCTCAGTTTCTTTACTCTTAGATGTTTGTAAATTGTACATTTTTTGCTTTAAAAATGATTGAATTATGTTTTTCTTATCTTCCGGTTAAGGTTTTTATGCGTTTCGTAATTCTGGAAGCAATATTTGTACAATTATCAACAATTTAAAAGCTTAAGTGCGGTTAAGTTTTAAACAACATGGCGGACATATTTGTTTACATTTGAAACAGCACAATTGTAGATTTGTTGCCAATCTAGAGAGACTAAGCTTTGCAACAACAAAATAACGCCTTCATTTATTATTGCGAATTAAATCATGCTTAATCCTTTCTGGAATTTTTTCGAGGAAATAAGTGTTTAAGATTTACTTCGTAATTTTTAATACGGATATTTTGAGTTTTTATGTATTTTTACCTTGTCGCGAAGTGAGAACTGAATTAATTGAATGAGAAATACTAAATAGTCTGTGAAAAACTGTTTCTTTTCTGTTTTGTTTGCTTAATTTCTTTCATACGTCGTTCTAGCTTTATTATAGTATTTGAATAGAACATGTGGCAACGATAAGATAATTCTTTAAATGATATAAATTTTGTGCATTCAGAGTGTCGTTATAGTACACAAATATAGGGAATTTTAAAGAGTGCATTTATTCTATTGTGGTTTATGCGCTGTCGACGAAGTAGATTTAATTCAATCCAATCAATTTAAATGAAATTCAAGAAAAAAATGCGTATAATTTTAATATTCTGTACAAGGAAGTCATGTGGTGTCCACATCAGATTTTTTACTTGTGTAGAAATGTAGGGTCTAAAGTGACGGCATAAGGCAGGAATGCAAAAAATAAAATAAAATAAAAAACAAAAAAATGACATGAGAGGAAAATGTGTTTTTGTAAAAAATCAACGCAAAGTGCTTCTTTGCAGCAATACAGGTGACGGAGGACGAGGACACCTGTCGTCTAACAGAGGTAAACAGGCATATGTCCCACACCCTTCCCTATCCAGATGCAACAACTTCCTGGGGCCCCATAAAGGCACACCGGGAGTTTATAGATACTTCACAAAAGGTGTACATGGCCGTACAGGGGCTATTTCTTTTCAGAGTGACATTGGTTTATATGTTGGTTGGTTTACATTAGTTACATTGTTGATATGACATAAACATAAAACTTACATGATAACAATATTTGACACATAACATTACACCAAACTTGAGCATAAGACTTGCTATTTTACATAATACATAAATTACTGCCTACTGATAACCTAAATTTTGCTTATTCTTAAATTATCACGTACACATAAGTTACTGCTTGTACCTGAATTACTGCTTACACAAGAATTACTGCTTGCACATGAAATACTGCTTACATTAACCCATTTTATCCCAATTTATTTATTTTGTTAAAATTTGAAAAGAATGTTATTTTATAAGGTTAATTAAACCTAAAAAATCTAAATATAACAAAATTAGAAATTTTGTAATATTTTATATAAGAAATCTAGCCTGTCCTCTAAATAGGACATTGGAACAAAGGGGATAAAATTTGCACTGACTTGTTTTTAGTGTTCTCTTCAATAACGAAAAGTGATTTCCGTGTACAAATTTTACTTTATTCGACTAATACTTCCTTATTTACCAGATAGTTCATTTTTCAGATGAATTTCATTCTAATCTTGGTGGAAAGGTCCAAAGCAAGCCAAAACTATTCTTTGCTAGTTTTATCACAAACCGAGTACCAAGAGAAGTATCATTTCTCGCATCAGATTCTTTTTTGCAATGTGCAAGTGTTTTTTCACATTTGCCATAGTATGTTTTTGGTTTTCCTTTGCAGCCCTCTCTTTGACAATGACGCTGTTTTTCTCGCCTTAGTAAAAAATGACCAACACTATCTTTACGGATGTCTTCTTTTGCATCAGAAGGTACAGTCCAGATCCTAGATCTACCTTTTGTTCTTATCACAGTTTCTTGTAGATAAACTGTTGCTACAGCTCTTCTGAACTTTTTCAAGTTTAGAGCTTCATTTTTGTTCAGAGTTTTGTGAATTAGTCAGGCGTTTACCATAGCTGTATCCAGCGAACGTATAAAAAGTGGCCAGTACCACTTTTTCCTATGAAATTTAATGGAAAAATGTCCAGCCAACCAGTTGTGGTGATCCACAACGCCCATATGTTTGTTGTAAGAATTAACCAAATTTGGCATCTTTACGATAACTTTGTGTCCTCTCACTCGCTTCTTCAGATCAAAGAATGGTTCTATAGTGCTGAAATTTGTAGCAACAGTGACAGTATATTATCATTCAATCGCACCAGGAAAATCTCAGATTTCTCGTCAAATGCAAAATCAGACATGCCTCTTTCTTTCTTCTGCATAGACTTGGATTCTTCTAAAGAAAACTCGTGGTTTATCCAATTTTGCGCGTATGGTTTCTGTAGCTCGGAAACTCTGTTCACTAAGACTTCAAAAGATAAATGCTAGTAAAAAAGTTATCAAATATAAAGTGTAGCTTGAAGGATTCACAATATTCTTTGCTAGTTTTATCACAAACCGAGTACCAAGAGAAGTATCATTTCTCGCATCAGATTCTTTACCGCATCTGACCAGTAGTCACGTTCGCAGGTATTTGAATGATAACCAGTTAGAAGCAAAATTCCGATAAAAACACGTAGTTCGTTGGCAGTGGTCAAGAAATCGTGTTCGTTTTTTACATCTGTTGCATATCGCAGAGTTTCTTTTACAATGAGATCGTATACTTCACTGGAATGAAACTGCTCAAAAAGCTCTTACGGAGTTTTATCTTTCAATGCAGTTTCCATCTGCTTGAACAAGTGACTTGCAATTAATTTATCCTGTGTTTTCCATTTTGTATATTGTGGGGATTTATTCTTTATCCAAGATGACTGGTGTCTTTAAGCTTTTTTTCTACTCTTTGTTGTGGAAACACTAGAGCTTGTAGATGGTTCAGGCTGGAAACTATCTTCAGTTATAACCTACAGAGACCCAGGAACATCGGTTACAATAATCTCACCAGTATTTACTTCATTCTCATCCCCTTCATCATCGTCAGTTAGTTCACTGGCATCTGGTGGTAACACTGCAATTTCAACTTTGCTCTCATCTGAATCTAAACTGTTGAATAGTTCTAATGCTTCCTCTAACTTCAGAAACCTTTCCACTGACATAACTCAGCAGGGGTGAAACACTAGAATTTTTTTTTTTACTCTTATTTATAAAGAGGGAAAGTACGTGTCAGTTGCATACTTATCGTCCCATTGTCCTATTTAGAGGACAGTTAAAAACAATGCGCAAAATTTCACCTAATAACAATATAGCTTTCGTTAACCACCAGGATGATAAGGAA